AAAAAAAAAAAAAAAAAAAAAAAAAAAAAAGAAAAAAACGATCATCAGATTGGCTAAGCTTCTATTGTTCTTCTATAGGCATTTAAAAAAAAACTCATTCTTTTTCTACATTTTTGTAAAAGTTTTTTTAAATCAAGTCAAAGAAAGACAAAGAAAAAAAGAAGCTGAAAAGAAAAGTTGCTTAATCTATTGGTTTTTCATGGAAAATCATAACATATGAACTAAACAGAAAACATTAACGATTGATGAAATGATTACTTAGAATCCAAACATTTTTCGCACCTCTCCAGGTTTGCCTTTTTGTAAAAGAAAACAGTGTGAAAAATGCACTATTTCTTAACCTTATAGAAACTTCTCAAAAAACTGTCGTTTCTTATCAGGGAAAGAAAAGTGTGCATCAGAAAAGGAACTAAAAAATGAAAGTTAAAAGATAATTTGTAGAAACTTTTAAACAATCTTCCGGGGCTAACGACAAATTGACTCACATTAATAGAGTATTTATCATCAGTAAATCGTAATGTGCGCCTCATTGGTAGCAGTCAAAAACATAGGTAAAATAAATATGTTTTATTTATTGTTTTTTACCTGATTAATACTGCTTTTTATACACTTTTTCCCACAGACTACAGAATTTTAAAGAAGTGTCTTTGAAGTAACAAAAATTTTTACTAAGATTTATTTATTTTTTTTCTTTTACTTTTTAACGTCAACCACAACAGTTCACATATTTTTACTTTGCAAAACCATCAGTTTTTATGGTATTTCTTCTCAGAGTAATTTTAATTGCAGAAAAAAAAAAGAATTTATTTATAATTTTAGGCAATTGTCGTTGATAAAACATTCATTCAGCAATTTTATATTTATCAAAGAAAATCTTTAGAATTGCTTTTTCTTTTCATTGCCAAACTATTCATGGTCAACTTCAAAGGAAAAAACATTGCTCAAAGTTGTAATGTTGTGACATATAAAATTTTGCACAGTAATAACCAACGATGTAAAAAAGTAAATTATAAAAGATGTCGTGATAAAAATTAAATTTAAAAAAATATAATAATAAAAAAGCAATATT